CAAAGGCCTCGTGTCGCGTAACCTCATACTCCGAAGAAGGACTTTCAAGCTTATGTGCAATTGAATAATATGAATATGTATCTGTACATGTACATATGCATGTGTTTGTATAGTTATATATACACACATAGATAGGTAAGTATAGTTAACACTTCGGTTTATAATGTGTATATATATATATATATATGTGTGTGTATCTGTATCTGTAACAGTGCGATCTACTTCTAAGAGCAGGTAAGCTGTAGAGAAGCTCTCCCCTTATAAGTTCGGTCGTTTGCGCCCGTCGCCCTGCCACAATGCTAATGAGAACATACGGGTGTAGTATTCTCGGGTGGAGACGCTGGGTCGACAAGATCCGGGATTAGAGGTTGAGGTATCATGCGAAGAAGGGCTTGCATAGGTTGAGGGGATTTGGAGCAGGTTAAGCACATCCTCGCCGAGCACGATGCTGCAGCCTCAGCTGTTCACAGTTGCAGCACATGGCCGCAGGGCCCGCGAAACACCCAAAACTTGAGCCATCATAAACTCGAAACTCTAGGAATTACGGTTGAAGATCTTAGCACTTCGGGTCTAAGAACCCTGTTGAAACCTTTATGGTCCCCCCCTACCCCTTTATACTTGCATGGCTCTGGCAAGGTTCCAGTGATACTCCTCGGCGGGCTGCTGCTGGGCTTCCGGTCGCGACCCGCTTCCAAGTTCCGGTTTTGGGGGAATCGGAGAAGCCGCAAAGAGGGTTTAGGGTTTAGGAGGCGCAGACTTGCACATGTTGTGTTTAGCTGTATCGATGCGTATACAGGTTCAGGTGTTTAAATATGCATCTGTTTGTTCGTGTATATCCCTCTACCACGAAGCAGTCCATTCCAGACGCGAACCCCGCAGCACTACTGTCCGTGCCATGCGTGGCCAGGGGCTAGTGCACTATTATGTAAGCAACAGGGCTTGCTTCTGCTTCGGATTCTCTATACGGTGAAATCACGTGCAGGGCTTCAACCTCCTTTGGCTGGTCCGGTTTGTGTTAACGGTTCACGCAGAGGACGACATGGGAAGTACACTAAAGAGTTCGCCTTCGAGGGCTGAGCTGCAAAAAGAAGTCGGGAGGACCCATCCCATGACCCCGCTCGCCTCACGGCCGTGCACGTGTCCGAAGATGTTTCGAAGTATCTCTGCACATGACTGTCCAAGTTGGATTTGCCCGGTTCGGCTTTACATTTTTTTCGACCCGCAGTGGACACGTGCAGTTTCAGCGGTACTCTTCAGGGGATAAGTATAAGTTAGCACTTCTGGTACTGCTGTCGAAAGCTCCACGGTCGGGACTGCCATGAGAACGGAATTGTATTCCCCTGGGCACCCCTGGGCACAGTTTTGCATTGGCAGGTCTCGCTCTCGCTCTCTCTCTCTCTCTGTGTCTGCCTGTCTCTCTCTCTGTCGGCTGTACTGCACATTGCACGCACACCCAAATAGCAAAATGGGTCGCCGGTCGCCCTTTGCCTGCGCATTCGACGATATCTAGCGTATCTCAACACAACGTATCTGCTCTGAGCCTAATACCCTTAATCAGGGGAACTGGATCTCTTTCTCACGCCGTAGCGAAAGCCCCATAACAAATGGGGGGCCCATGTGGCCTGGGGGCTTAAGATGCCTCCCATGCCCTGCAGAAGAAGAGCGAGAGGGACGGGGAGAGGGAGAGCCGCAGAGAGGCAGAGAGAGAAAAGAGAGACGGCAAGAGAGTGAGTGCATGTGGGGAGGAAGACGGGCAGGCACACCCCCTCTTGGCAATGCTGATATGGCAGCCACCACTGGAAACATAAAGCCTGCAGTGACAGCCACGCACTGCACTTCATGGAACTCTGTCACGCTCAGGCACTGTATGGCCACCGATGTGGGCATGGACAGAGACTCGGACCCAGAATTTGCGTTCTCAGTTGCGCGTGGAAGCCTTCGGGCCCAACCAAGAGAGTTCTGTTCTTGCAGAGCCTCGTTCGTTCTCGTCTCTGGCTAGCCGCAGCAGTGGCAACGGCTGGATAGAGAGCTAAATGGTTTCACATACAATATCCTGTGGTCAAAGTGCGGTCGTGGGTCGCTGAATCACTGCGGATCGGTGGAAGTCGAGCGAGGCACAAGGATGAGCAGTCAAGGCGCAGGTTGACAGTTTAGGTGCAGTTTACGATGTAGTGAGCATGGCATGAGAAGACAAGTCGTAGAGCCGCAGAATCATATTTTCCTGCTGGTGAATCCGCTGACTGCTGCTGTCTCATGCAGCGTCGTTGCACGCGCTTGCTCTTTGTGTTCGGAATCCACTGCACTTCCACATTTGGACTGCGACGGACCTCCCAAGCAGGCACCTTGATGAGTCGCGAGAACGGCTTTTATTATGCTAAGGCCCAGTTTGAGGGAGGTTTTTTCGTATTCTGACCCCTAAACCCTAAACCCTAACCAGAGGTGATGTGGCCACCTTCGGGCCGTGGATCCAGGTGGGGCCTCAAACCCCCGGGGGATATCCCCTAGCCTTGATGCAGCGGTTTAGGGTTTGAAGGTGTTGGGTGTAATACAGGGGCATAATTAATACTAGTTTGGGGGTTCCTTATTATGGTTATAGTACAATGGGCCCCAAAACCCTATTCTTATTATTAAGGCCCTTATGGTAGCTTCGAGTTCAGAGGTTTCTAGAGGACAAAAGCAAGAACAGCGGCTGGTGAGCCGGCTGGAGCTTGCCCGCGGCCTATTCTGAACACAAGCTAAACCCTGAACTGCCCGAAACCCTAAACCCCCTAAACCTGAACCCCAAATCCTAGCCCCCATCTTTGAAGAGTCCTTAAATCGTAACCCCTAGAGAACCTATGACAAACTCTGTGGCAACCCTCTATAGAGTCCTAGAGTCCTAGAGTAACGTGTGCTGCTTTGAGGCCGCTGGCATTCCTTCACTGCAGGAGGTGGGTGAACTGCTGCTGTGTTCTGTGTTCATATACTTTTCAAACATAGTGGCAAGTTCAATTATTAGTTTTCCAAGAATATAACACCAAACAACATGGCACTAGCAATTGGAAATGTAACCTATTCATCGTAGGAGCCAAAAAGTCATCGTAAAGGTTTAAGGTTGGAAGATTGCTCAGACCCGACCACAAGGACCATGTCTCCTTAGCCTCCAGTACAAGACTACTGCTTCGTTCTGAAGCCAGCCCGAAAAAAGTCCTGAGACCAACAATCCAGGTGGTCAAAACCATGCCCTCCAAGCCTCCTTACCCCCCCAAAGGTCCCTGAACCCTAAACCCTCCTCTAAACCCTAGACCCTATAACCTCCCTGTAATTTTACCGTTGCGGAAGGCCTTTCGCCACCGGGGACACACGCTGGATGCGCGCCTTTGCCAGGCGATTCGGCGATGGCAGAGAGCGGTCTGTGTGTCTCCGTGCGCGCGAGCGAGGGTGTAGCGCCTTTCGCGGTTTCGGGTCTGAAGAGTCTGAAAAGATAGGGCTTCCGGCTGGCTTCAGACTCTCAGATGGAGGTTTGGGGTGTTTAAGCTGTCGAGCTTCAGTATCTACAGGGCTTCAGTAACTCCTCAAAGTTCAACCATCTCCAACCCCATCCCGACCTAGACACAAAGATAACACCTGGCTTTGTGGGCCACTGCATAAGCTGTGCGACAGAGATGGCGTGGTACCAGTAACGGCTCGTCCCCTTGTTTAGTCTCGTAGATCCTACCTATAGTCTCCATTGTAGTTCCTTTTTTTGGGTTTAACCAATTTTATATTAAGGATCCTAAAAGGTATCCCCAAAAAGGAACTACAATGGAGACTATAGGTAGATCTTCTTGGAAGGGAGTCCTGTCCCTGACCCGGCTGCACAGGCGGGGCCGCTTCGCAGCGGCTGCACGCTGTCAGCAGTGCTGTAGCTCGGCAGTCGAGCGCAATCCTTTCCGAAGCTTTGTGGGAGAGAGGGGGTGAATTACTGATTTGGGGTTTAGGGTTTGCTTTGATGCTCTCGCCGGGTTCCCACCGGTGAGGAGGGAGCACCGAAATATTGATTTAGGTGGCACGAGCGGTCGAAGCGACTGGCCTGACTACCATGAATACGAGGCAAGCCTGCCGCAAAAGGGTCTGGTCTATACCCAAAGGCCCCAAAGTAGTTCCTTTTTGGGGTTCATATATAGAACCCTACAAGGTAATCCTAAAAAGGAACTATATTGGGGCCTCTGGGTAGGTCCAGGGGTTCGGGCCGAGGGCTTAGTATAGGGGCTTGGGTTCAGGAACCCCCTTTGCTTTCTCTCATAAACATCCGGGGTCGCTAACCGAACTGTGCTGGAACTCAGGGATGGTAGCGGGCTCAGTGCCCCGACGCCGAGGATCCACATCCATGCATCTCGGCTCATTGGGATGAACATCAGTATGGGCTTTAGAGTTAGTTTTCGATGTCGATATACGGGGTTTGCATAGGTTTCATGGAAGATTCCGTGGGCCTTCTGCTGTTAGAACATGTTCGAATTGGTGTTGGATCGTTGGCATATCTCGCATTCATTAACTCTAAACTTGAGGGTTTGGCTGAAGGTGTATGTTGTATGTAGGGGTTTCAGGAGACAGGGTCTGTCGGGTGGTCTTTAGCTGATGGGGCAGGGTCTCAGAGATCGCGAGGCCATTAAGGTGTAAAGGTTTGGGGTTTAAGGTTTCATCGCGTGGTCTGACGCTGAATGTGTAAGCAGATGAGGGGAAGCAAAGAAGGAAGGAAGCAGCAAGTGATTGATTGACTGGTTGATATGTTGCTTTGGGATTCCCGCTGACGAGCTGGCGGTCCGATTTTGTGGTTGCTCGCTCTGCGGATATATTCGGTCTGTTTGACCTGGTCTTCGATTTGGCCGAGTTAGATGCTTGGGTCTGTGTGCATGTGCGTCAGCGTCAGTCCTCCGTGACGTGTATATGCGCACGCGCTGCAGCAAAGCCGGCTTGAGTTTCAGCCCAGCAGAAATCGCTCGTAGAAGGACTCTGCGTGGTTTGGAGCTGAGGGGTGAACCATGACAAAAGGGCTCCCTTGCTTCCTTGAGCCCGCGCCCTTCGACGGCCAACTCCTCTTTGAGGTACTCTTCTCTGCGCCAGCGCCTTCTGCCACAAGCCTGCCCGGCCGCTTCCTGCAGTGCGCCAACGCTTGCGGCAGTGGCTGTTGCTAAGCTCCGATTTTTGCGAAGCTTTGGAGGATAGCCGAGGCTTAGACCCCAACAGTCCCGTTCAATTCTCTCCAGGCCCGGCCCTCTCGGCTCTAGAGCTTCTAGTCATAGATATCAGAGAGTGCTGCCGGAACCCGGTGGGCAGATTTCATAAATTTTGAATCCTGAGCTGTAGGCTCCAGGGCCCACCAGTCGTGACCACTATTGCTTTACACCCTCAAACCACTGACAAAAAGGGCCTATCCGCGTGGTTCTGGCCTCATTGACACAAAACTGACTGAGCCTTGAACTCCTGCTGCTGTGGTAGCAGTGGTTGCAGAAGCGAGAGGGGCAGGAGTAGTAGGAGGAGGAGAAGAGCAGACATGTCTTGGAATGAGAATGGCACCTTCTTTAACGTCCTTCCTCTCTGGGCCCATATGCCAGAGCCCCAATCGACCCACCGTCCACCAGGTACCTGTCCATCCCTCAACCCTATACCATGAGCCCGAAACTCCCCGACCCAAACTCCTAATTTTGAACTTTCAATAACCGCACATCCCCCGCGGACAAGCATTTTCCTGACTTGAATATAAACTGAAAGGAATCAGGCAATTTCAAGTTCTATCGGCGCCGAGGTGCCGCGTGCGACCTAGCCTATGCCTTCCGCACTGAGCCACTGAGCCAGGATTAGCTCTTGAAGCGGATCACGGACTGAACAAAGAGTTTGCAACTATGCTTGACGATCTCGGCCGCGACTACAATATAGGACAGAAGCACCGCCACAACGGCAATGTCATCAATATCAAAGCCAACAACAAGAGCAACTGGAACTACAAGACCACCGGCACCATCGGCAACAGCAACAGCAACAACAAGACCATTGCCACATCGACAGCGACAGCGCCAGCAGCAACAACAAGACCTCCACCCACGTCACGACGACCACCACCGCCACCGCCACCAACAACAACAACAGCAACAGCAGTAGCAATAGCAACAGCAACAATGACAAGGACAGCGTCAGCGACAATAATGGACAAGTTATCAATGACAAGGCTGGCAGCAAGAGCATTATCAACACCAAAACCACGACAGCAACAACATCGCCAAGAACGGCACCAACCACAACAACCACATCCATAATCACAACAACAGCAGCAACAACTCAACAGGAACAGCACCAGCAAAAGCTATCTGCACCAGTGGCGTCGTGAGTCTGCACCGTACCAGTCCTGTGGGCATGCAGCGTCGTGTTTCGTAGTGGTACCATGCAGAACTCGTGTTATGATGGTATATCGGGCAAGATAGTGCAGGCACACTGGGGTTTTCCATAAGTTGCATGACCACTAAGTCACTAAGCCGAAGGATGTCACATGCTGCTCCACGAGCGGCCGGGGGTTGCGGAAAGCAGAACAGGACATCTGGCGAGTGATGTTTTAGGGGGTCGAAGGTGTCTAGTTTGCCAGATCTACCGAAACGAAGAACCAGAAAGTATGGATCGACCGCTTTCAGGTCCTCGCAGCAGCAGGGCCGTGTCTTGGTATGCGAAGTCATTTAAATTACCAGCTCCAACCCTCTAACCTACACCCAGAATATGTGCAATACCGGCTGCTCTCTCTCTCTCTCTCTCTCTCTCTCTCTCTCTCTCTCTCTCTCTCTAGGTATAGGTGTAGGTAGGTATAAGGTAAAGGTATAGGTATATGAAAGTATATGTGGTGTGTGTATATATATATATATATATACATGTGTACATACATATACAAACATTCATGCGAAGACGTTTAGATTCATATTCGGTTTTGTTTGTGTGATATAGCCACCCCAGTTCATTTTTTCAGGCCCTCGGATCTTTGTACGTGGTTTCCGAGCTGGTTCCCAGGCACTCCATCTGACCCTGTACCGCCGTTGCAGCTTCCCGCAACCCTTGCCTCATCCTACCTAAACCTGGTTTGTTTGTAGCGTCCCCATGAATTCGATGTTAGGGTATAAGAACTTACAAAAAGCATTTTATGGTAGGTTAAGGTATATCCGGAAGATTTCAGTTATCGCCGAAACCCTATAAGCCCAGCTGCGAATCTCGGAATTCACCTTTTGGAAATTAATTGACACCACGTGGCTTAACAACTCTTAGCTGCAGAGCTTTGCCCGAGATTCCGAACTGCATACGTCCAAAATTCATGTCTCATCCAGCGCGCATGAGGCTGACGAAGGGAGGCGGCGTTACATCCAACATGTTGCAAAGGTGTCGTTCTGATGCAGGTTTCTTCCCCTGCCCGCTGCCCATTCACAACTTTGTGCTGGCAACCTGGATGAATGAGACTTTCTGGACCCCTGCGGAGACAGATCTGTATCTCCAAAGCGAGCCTTGACTGCACGGGGACTATGGATTCATCACCACGCAAAACGAACTCGACATTGGAGGTCTTTTTCAGAGTTCGCGTCCGGACACATGTGCAGACACAAATGTGCGGCAGCATAAACGCAAGGTCTCTTTACTGGCCAAGGGCGATATGAAGTGGTCGCTGGGGTGTGTTTTTGTTGGTGTTTCTGTTGCCGTAGGTAGTGGTGTTAATGGCATCTTTGTCAGTGTTCGTGGGGTTGGTGCTAGTGCTGGTGTTGGCGGTGGTGCTGTTCCCTGCCTCGTCTTTAACTGCGCGACTGTGATGGCACTCAACAGCTACAGCTGAAGCCCCCATGCCGCCTTGTTCTTTGCAACTTCCCCGCGGCTTCGCTTGAGGAGTACGGATCAGAGCAGCCTGGCAAATTATGAGATGATTCGGGTCGGCCCAAGGCTTCGGATGTATTGCTAAAGCGTGCCTCTAAAGGATAAGCAGTGCTCCGATTTACGATGTCTGTTTGGGAAAAGAGCACGGGGCTGGGCACACACCGTGCACGGCTTAGCTTCTTACACAGGGTGTCTTCGAGCCATGAGCGCTGTATAGTAGTTAATTGCTATTTGCATGTTGCGGTGCTGTTGTTGCACGCTTCATGTCCGAACGATTTCCAGTGACATCCGGAAAATCAGGGGTCGTATCACCATTTCCATTCCACAGGTGGCACTAGCGGACGACGGGTATTTGCATCTGGACATGGAATGAAAAGCTGTGCAAGCACGATGTTGGGACATACTTTGCTAACGAGGGATTGTGCACATTTGTACGTGTTGCTGGCGCGAACCATGTGAGTGGTGAGAAACAAGAGGACATATCGAGCATGCGCGCCTTGATACGGATCATCCAGAGCAAAGCTTAGCGTGCAGTCAACGGCATGCAGACCTGGTGGATTGGGAGGACATGGCAGGCCTGAAGCAATCAGCACCGATTGGGCGTCACAACCGATCAAGAGTCCAAAGTGTCGGAGACATCCTCGGAATCCTAGAACCAAAGTCACAGCAAGTCCCAAGAACCAGCTCAGGTTTATAGGCGTACATATAGGGGTCGAATGAATACAAGACTCTGTCTTGTCCGCCCAGTTTGCCACTTCCGGATGCGGCCCCGCATCGAGGGTGCTCGGAAAAGCCGCTGGCTCCATATGCCGCAGCCCAAGTTTGGAGTTAACCTCCCGTGTTCGTTCAACCACACACACACACACACACTTGCTGACCGGTCATCCTTTCGATGGATGCCGTTTGCTACACTTGCTGTCTCAAGGGTCACAGCTACATATCGCAGGTACGTTTTCACACCTACCATCGGAGGTCTTCGTTGGCCACAGCTCCGATGGTAAGCCTGTGGCCCCCTGCTGTAAACAAATCTATTTCCTTCGGTACAGGATTTGCATACACACGCAACCGGTACCACCGGTAACATCAGCCAGCACCACAACCCCTACACGCCCAACAGAGACGACGACGAACGAACAGCAACACAGCAACACGACGACGACGACTGACCGAAAAACAACCAACACCACAACCCCTACACGCACAACAGAGACGACGACGAACGACCGGCAGCAACCCGGCAACACGACGACGACGACGACTGACCGAAAAACAGCAGCAATACAACCCCTACACGCACAACAGAGACGGCGACCACGGAACAGCTGCAACACAGCAACACGACGACGACGACGACGACGACTGGCCGAAAAACAGCTGCAACACAACATCTACTCCTGAGCTCCTGGACCTGGGTTTTTTCAACAGCCGAGGAAAGGTAACTCCAGTGTGAAACACAGGAAAATCGGGGCCTGATTCGTGTGGGGCCGTTCGATCTCGAGGCTTACATTCCAAGGTAAGACAGGGTGTTCCAAGGAGGCTCCCCCACAGACCGGGAGTCCGACAGCGCTTTGGCAGAACTACTGTCGGGTAGCACACTTGCTGACCGGTCATCCTTTCGATGGATGCCGTTTGCTACACTTGCTGTCTCAAGGGTCACAGCTACATATCGCAGGTACGTTTTCACACCTACCATCGGAGGTCTTCGTTGGCCACAGCTCCGATGGTAAGCCTGTGGCCCCCTGCTGTAAACAAATCTGTTTCCGTCGGTACAGGACTTGCACACTCACACACACACACACACACACGTGCACGTGTTCTTTCTACTGTATGTCCGTAATTTATGCAACGTACTGTACTGTTATGATGTCATGTCACATCATGTCATGTCATATATGTATGAACCTATGTATGCATGTATGTATGTAATGTATGTATACATGTAGGCATGCAGTTAACAACTGACAAGGGTGTGCACATGTAACAGCATGTTAGCACTTGATGGGTGTGTGTGTGTGTGTTTACGCTTGCGTTTGTGTAAATATTTCTATTATATATATATATATACGTATATATATATATATATATATATATATTCTTGCTATATATATATTAGATATTATATATTATATGTTAGATATTATATATTAGATATTAGATATTAGATATTAGATATTAGATATTAGATATTATATATTATATATTATATACTTTATATTTTATATTATTATATTATATATTATATATTATATATTATATATTATATACTATATACTATATACTATATATTATATATTATATATTATCTTATTATTATTATTATTGTATATATATATATATATATATGTTTGTTACATATAATACAACATATACACACATGCATGCATACATCATACACCTTTGATCCGAGAGACCTCGTCTGGCAACGACCGAGTTGCGAGAGCGCACATACATTTATACATGCATACATACGCGAAAGCTGTATATGAAGGGGACTTGTACAAACACTTCTCTATTTCTTCACTTCAACGTCGCGTGTTCCACTTGTTTCACAGCGAATGGTAGCGATGTGTTGTTGCACTCCTGTGTGATGGGGTTTGCCATCGATGTTCTGCAGGTGTGGCCGGATGTTCTATTTAGAAGTACCACGCCGTTTCCTTGGCTCCGGTTCCCACCTACCCGGCGCTGTCCTCGGCTCGCCTAGGCTTACAATCACGCTGGAACCTGAACCTAGGACTCCTACTTTTCCGACCTGCCCGTGGGCATTGAGGCCGTGAAGAAATGTTTCGGTCCTTGATTCAAGATGGCTAGGGGTAGAGGGACAGTGGTAGTTATAAGTGGAGTTGCACGTCCTATACAATTATCTTTTAAGTTTTGTTCTCCTTATTATAAGCTTGCTTATAACCAACCATGAACCTCCAAGTGCACAAGCACCATCAAGAGCCGCAGCCTTCGTTTGCCTGCGCAGGTCATGAAAAGGCAGCATGCAGTCGAGAGCAAGCATGCTAAACGGATCGCGAAGGCAGCTGTTCATGATCGGCGGCCCTGATGCAATGAGCCAGTTGGTGTTTTCGGTACAGAACGTCTTTCAAATTTGCGGCAACACGCAGACAACGAAACACTTGTTCCTAGATGTTGCTGCCGACTTCTTGATGTCACATAGCCGTTGCTGCAAGCAGAAGCAGCGACACAGCAGCCACTCAAAATGTACTAGTACTATCGTGCAGGTATCAATCACGTGCACTCGAGCACGGTCTTCAGTAAATCCAGTAGAAGCAAGGCAAAGCCGCCCTTCAGAACGCCAGGCAGCTGTGGCGGAAGAGATTCCCCGGTGACGCTTCCCTCTCAGAAATTGCCCCGTGGCAGCTTCCGCAAACACCGCCAGCGCCCAGAGCCCGATGCAGCTCGGAGTTGTGTTGTTAAGGGGGTTTAAAGTTTAGGGTTTTGGCTTTGAGGCTCAAAGTTCTGGTAGGTTGCAAGACAGCTCTGGGACCCGCCACAGCCTTGCATTTGATCAACCCGAGACCGCCAAACACACGACTCTACTGTGGGAGCAAAACCCTAAGCCCGAGGCTCGCACCTCTTGGAACCAACAAGAAGCAACAGGTCATGGACATAAGAAGCAAACACGCCAAGCACGTGTTTAAAGCTTCGAACCCTTGCGAAGACTTAGGGCCGAGACCGCAGCTTTCGGCTGCCGTGCTACCGCCTCTGTCGGCACTGCTTTGTGCGCTCGCTGCCTGGGAACCCCGGCTATGTCCGAGGCCTTCATAACTGGAGTACGGCCCTTTAACTACCAGGGTCACTACAACGGGACCCTGCATTATGCGATCCCCGAATGCTCCGAGATGGCTTGGTAGTAGTGCCGCAGTAGTACAGTAACGGCAGCGGCGGCAGAAGCTTTGGGTTAGGTGTTGTGTAGGCAGGCTTGATGAGAAGGATTTGAGTAGAGTAGATGTTGAGGGGGGACTGGTTCGATGGGGGTCCAAATGAAGATTGACCATTATCAGCCAGTGTATTGAGCCAAATAATCGTTGAGGCATCAAGGATATGTCAAGGCAGAGTCGTAAGAAGCGTGTGGTGCGGTGAACGACGAACGCCATCCAATCGCCCAGTGTGCTCAGCGTCCAGTGTCCTTGAATCGACAACAGGACTGAAAAGTGACTAATAGATATGCGGAGTGAGATGGTTTGACGGAGGAGAACCTTAGTCGAGAACTGCCAAGGACTAAGGAGGGCTAAACCATGCTGCGAGACGGGATGTACATACCCTGGAAGCAGCGGAAAGAATACAGAAAGTTTCGACTGCATGTAGTACATACCGAATGAGATTGGTCGTAGTTGCCAACAGAATCTTTCGCGAGCTGTAGTCACATTCTACGTCAGGCAAAGCGACGTAGTCTCACAAACTAGAACGTGAAGTCGAGCTCAAGCCCTAAACCCTAAACCGGGCTTGTCATTGCTGTAAACCTGGTGGGTCGAGCCCCTGGAGCGGCAAGCACGAGACACCACCAGACCTCGATGTGAGAGTGTCCGAAAATAGGGGACCCTAATACAGTAGCCTAATTAGTAGGATCCTTAGTATACGGACCCCAAAATAAGGCACCTCTAATTTTCGGAAACTCCCATGTTGTCACGAACTGGCATGGAAGAGTGGCAGGGTCGGATAGGGTGCGCTCGCAGCACTTCTTTGAGCGCGTAAGAGGACATCATTCCTGCGCTGTGTTTCGAATGTGCGCTCCCCTGGACCAGGCGAGACTCTAGTCAACCCCAGAAAATTGGAACATGAATTCAGGATGATTTGTGCTGGGATCCCCTATACCTTGCCTTAAGGGCATGAGGACATGGATGTTCCAACTTTCTGGCTTCTACTATAATTGCGGGCAAGTTGTGTAGAAGATTGTAGAAGCCCGCACAAAGCCCAGTACCATGAGGAACAGACGCCAAATGAGATCAGCATGTCAGGAGTGCCACCTATTGCAACATGAGCCTTTACCAGTCAGAAGATTTGGAGCCAGTCCCTGTGCGCGATGTTGACCCAGACGAATTTCACAAATGTAGTTCCCGATAATTTGGCTAGCTGTCTCAGGTATCCATTCGCACCATCTGGGCAAGCTCAAGCAGCAGTGGACTGTTGCAGCTGATCTGGCATCAGTCGTTCGACGGTGCCGCGCACCTCGCTTGAGCTGTTTCCAATGCTTAACAGGAAGTGATGTGGCCGATCCCACAGTTGACGCTCCGCTGATACAACACCCCAATTCTTCAAGCAGTGCGAATCCCCCGAAACCCAAACCCGAACAGGTCACCTCGTTTCCCCACCCGGCCGTGGCTAAAGCCTGGATAGCGACTGCTCGACTAGCACTCATTTCTTGGCGCCTTATAACCCTAAACCCGAAACCGTAGTTTGTCTCAAGGCTCAGCCTGTATGTGGCCTTGATCCTCGTGCTGGCCTTCTTGCAATCCCTTGCAGCTGCCAAAGGCAGAGACCGTGAGGGAATGTGGGAGGTTTCCCGAGCCGTGACTTTCTGAAGAGAGTCTGGCAGAACTCGACCGACCGACAGAAAGACAGAGAGAGTGGGCCGCAGCCACCCGCCCCCAAACGCCAAAATCCAAGACTCTACATCGCTAGAAGCCCTAACCCCACTCATTCACACCCTAAACCCTAAACCCTAAACCCTAAACCCTAAACCCATTCACACCCTAAAGATCCGAAAGCCTGACTCCCACAGGCACCATCGTACAGGGGCCTCTCCACTATGCGAAGCCCAAATCCCCATTCTAGTTGTGAAGGCCACCGAAAGGAACAAACAAAGTCCCTAAACCGTGAACCCCTAAACCCTGAACCCTAAACCCTCAGCTGACGAATGCACAGAACTCCCTGTCCAATTCTTGTTTGCCCAGCCCGGAAATACCAATCTGGCGAACATTCTGGCACGCCTTGAGAAGAAACACATCACGAATCCAAGCAGCAATCCGCAAGAGTTGCCACCTGTTGTGGGGCCTGGCGACGGGACAGTCAATCAGCTGAAGGAGCTACATGAGTCCCAAAAGATGCTCGCTGAACAAATGGCTGTGCTTGCCGCCGCCCTTGCGAATCTGCAACAGAACGCTGCCTCCGGGATGGGTTCCGGTGGAGGTGCCTCAGGCGCCTCCGACTGAGATCTTCCCCTCTTCGTGTCGCTAATGCAGCGACACGAAGAATTGCAGAAAGAGCATGAGGAGCTGATATCCCTAGTTGGGGTCCCGGCTCCGAAGATACAATGGGTGGGAGATGATGTCAAGACATCTCTGCTCTTGAGGAAGCATGGTGTGAGTGTTCTCCAAAAATCCGTCACAAACAAAAGTGTCGTGCTCTTTGAATCCGAAAGACAGATGTCTACAATGATCTCAGAGTTAGCATTGTCGGTGGAGGAAGTCTGCGACATGGACGGTGTTTACTCTGGGTTCATGCTTTCAAGACAGGCATACTGCTGAAAGAGTGGATATCAAAAGTAAGTTTCAGAGATCAGGGCAGAAACAAGTTCAGGGTTGTAAAGGCGCTCCTAGAGCATAGCTTCGGGGTTGGTTTACTTCCTGAGTGGTTTGTGTCTCTCACAAATGCCATGATGCCAGAAGAATTATGGTCAGGGAACAAATTGTGGGAGTTTGCAGGTGGGGAGGCGCCAGGGAATCTCACAGATGAGACGTGGCGCACGAGACTCTGCAATGTCTTCTACAGCACAGAGCACAATGAGGTATGGCATAGAAAGAACCATTTGCGGGATGCATATGGCTTGCTGCGCCGTGATATGTCGGAGACTGACACTGTTACGATGGTTAAGTTCCACATGCACCCTGCTGCAATTTGTCCTCATGGAGTGCAATCCATCTCATACGATGAAGTCTGCGATTACCTCGACAAAAAGTTCTTGACCATGGACGGAAAACCCTTCAAGAACATACAGAAAACTGGAGCGAAGATCAGAGACTCAAAAGACTTGAGGACGTTCTATCCGACCTGTACAACAGGATTGCTTGTGCGCGAGAAGATGCCAGTTGGGTGGCTTCTTTCATTGTGCAGGATGCTCTACAGACAGTCTGACGGTGCTCTATCGAGTATATTCCCAGAGATCAAGGATAGGGATTTGATATTCGAAGACATCAGACGGTTGTGGCATAACTGCCTGGGGTTGGGAGCCCAAGCACTGGTCCGCTTCGTCCTCGCGTATATAGGCGTGCCAACAGCAAGGATCTATATCAGGCAGATGCTGAAGGCGGGCATCTTCGTCAGTGGGAGTTTTGAAGACATCTACAACGAATGCAAGCATACACATGATGTGCTACATCGGTGTCTCGGTCTTACTGACCCTCGCTTGAAGCTGTCTGACAAGGAAGAGATCCTATACAATGGCGCCGATGCCATGTGCATGCATCTACTCGTCGGTAGGTATGCCTTCAAGACTTTGTCCTGGGAGACGATTACAAGAAAGGGACATCACAAATCCATGCGCAACACAAAACTGACTTGCTAGGTGAACCCTCTGAGAAAGAGTTCAATGAGGCTGTTTTCAGGTCATGGGATAAATGGATTCCTGTCGCCGTTGCGGCGAAAGAGGAGTACCATGAAATGACGGCTCAAGATGTCAGTCTACTATGGCAGAGGATCTCAAAGTGAGTTAACCTGCAAGCTGCATGCCTACTGAATTTAGAGATGCACGGAGCCCGAGCATGCCAAGAAGATAGCACACTGCAAGTCTTGCTGCATGGATGTGATGCAATGGGTAATTCAGTGCACGAGCATGACAAATGCATGGATGCCATACCATGTCGTTCAGTCCCACGCAGTCCACACGTTTCACAGGCGCGTTGTACAGGTTCCTTAGATGTACTACAAAGTGTATGCAATGTATAATTGGGCACGGCAAATTGGTTGTGCCTGTAGTCGGTAATACGCTGACGTTCAGGTTCGTCGTACTGATGAGCCCACAGATCACAGGGCCCTTGATTCAACTACTGTGAGTGTACTTGTTTTTCATTTTGCTGTCTTTATTGGTGCGCGTGATCTGCAGCCATGTACTCAGGGTCCTGTTCTTGTGCACTGTGCTTTTCATACTCAAAGGATCCTGAGTAGAGGACGGGTCCCAGCTGGATACAGTTATTTCAGCTGTTGCTAGATTTGTTGGTGCGTGCAATGACACCTCCTCTTAGTGAAGTTTCACTTGGTATGACTCCGAACCCACATGCCTCGCCTGGTTTGTCCGAGTGTGAGCGCCGAAACCCTCAGCTGCTGAATCAGGGACACTTTTAAGATGCCATTTTGGGTGTGAGTAGTTTCACTCATACCTCGAACCACATCCTCCGAGCGTGAGCGCCGAAACCCAAACCCTAAACTCGTTCTAAACTCCTAATCCACTGAACGCCTAAACCCGAAACCGCCTAAACCCTAAACCCCCCTTGAATGCTCGACAGACGACTTGTTGCTTCTTCTCATCATGACTATCCCTACGTAGGACACTGTCACCTATCAGACTCCGAACCACTTGCCTCGCCTGGATTGTCCGAGTGTGAGCGCCGAAACCACTGAAGCCCCAAACTCGATCTAAACCCATGAACGCCTAAACCCTAAATCCCTAGACCCTGAACCACTGAATCCCTAAACTCAATCTAAACCCCTGAACCCCTAAACCCCTAAACCCAAAGCCGTAGGCCCCGAAGCTTTGGCTGCCGCCGTGGTTTTCGAAGCGGCGGAGCTTCTTCGGGCTGCAGGCATGAAACATGACGAGACAGGGCTTCTATCAGGCTTCTATTTCTGTACATATTGGGGAAGCAAATAAGAATTGTTTTGCCTCAATACTGCGCGTATGTTTAGTGTTTCTATTTTTTGCAGAATGGCTTTTAGAAGACTTTAAAGAGGGATTTAGCATGGGATCCCGAGAGACTGACATTCCAGAGGCCCTGCATGACGTGGGTTCTCATGGGGTTCCATGTGGTGTCGTCGGATCATTTGGATTGTTTTGGTTATGTATAGGATTGGAGGTTTAGGGTTAGGAATTTGAGGTTTAGGGTTTAGGGGCCGTCGGTGGATGGGGTTTAGGATTTGTAGCGTAGGGGTCGGGGGCTCCTGCGCTGCAGGCACCGCCTGGGCAGGAGGGCGGCTCTCACTTTGGAGATCTTTGAGCTCCTGCCAGCCGACGAGGTCGGGGGAGACTTTGTGGGTTTTCGGTTGGGTGTCTAGAGTTTCGGTTTTTGGTGTAGGATTTGGTGTTTGGGGTTTCGGATTGGGGGGGTTGAGTTGAAGGTGACTGTTTACTCCAGGCTTAGCTTCCCCGGTGCGGTATCTGATCTCGCTCCTCAAAACTCAATGCATGTCAGATTTTCGCGACTTGCGAACATTGAAGCCTGCTCGAAGACCGCCTCGTTTCCTTGTAGGTAAAGATTGGGGTTTCGGTGTTTCCGCACACCTCGCCCCAGAAGCAGGCCAAGCCTCTTGCATTCCACGCAGGAAGCGTTGCGTTCTGAAGTAGAGGCTGGGCTTCTTTTGGGGCTCCTCTTCCGGAAAGGGACGTTGTAACATGCCTCTGGCAGCACAGCACAGCACTGCTGGCTAGCCGCTTGCCAACCTAAACCCTAAAACCCGCAACTGACACATGCCTCACCCGGACTTGTGTGAGTTGTCAGCACCGAAACCCTCAAAGTCGAGTGCGAGTGCCCAACAGCCGCTCAACCCAAAACCTCAATGCGCTGTCCACCGGTCTACCTATTTGCCAGTGTCGTCTGCGGACCACGCCTGATATCGCCCGAGTGCGAGTGTCAAAGAAAGCCTTAAAACTCAAACCCTTCATTTGGGAGTTCCGAAATCTAGGGGTACCTTATTTTGGGGTCCTGATAATAAGGATCCTACTATTTAGGTACACTATTAGTGTCCCCTATTTTCGGAAACTCCCATTTCAAGCATGAACCGCACCGCCCTGCTTCTCAGAAAAAAGACCCAGAGCTCCCTACATCAAAGTTTCAACTTCTCGGAACAACAGCTGTTGTTTTTTTTCATAAGTGCCGGAAACATATTAGTCACGAGTGGCATTAAGACTTGCTCTAATAGCAACGGTAACCTCTGTAAAAGTAGCAGCAATGAGATAGCAATTGTAACAGTCACGCATAGTCATCATCAGTACAAGCTTAGTCATGATCGAAAAAGCAATAAGGGGTTCTGGCTTGTTGCATGATCTCTGAACGTTGTATATGGTTCTTATGAAGCCCCCATGCGTTTGAACTGAAATCCGGTGCTTTGAGAAGAGGAGCGCACACAGGGAGTTTGGGAAGTAAGTTGAATCTCAAGCATTCATGACTGCGACTAAGCTAGTCATGTTACAGTAAGCATGACGGCATGAGGCAAGTTTAGCCAAGCCACGCAGCAGAGAATCGCTTTCCACCCAATAGTGTCAGGTGCGATTCCATTCTCATTTGTAGCATATGTGCAGACAGAGTCATATGCAACCCAGCAAACTACTAACTCCCAATCTGGGTTAACTTGGGTTCAGGGCTTTAGGCAAGCTTGAGGCTGGGACGCGTTCCCGTGTGGATGCTCACTGCTCTCCCGGGCATTGCCGGAGCCGTCTGGTTCTCGGCTGAGCCCTTTCGCATCTTGCACGACGGTTCACCTAAATAGCAAACCCTACACCAATAAGTCGCGATCTACAGTCCCTAGAGCTTGAGATCCCGTAACTAGACTGCAGACATGTGTCGTTGGATCTCGAGTGGAACGAGCTGTATTATATCAGGTTCTTAGACCGTTAAGTTGGGCTCATTGTTGTGTCAGCTTGGTCACGTGTCGCTGTAGCTTCACTCGTCAGACCACGAACCATATGCCTCGCCTGCATTGTCCGAGTGTGAGCGGCGAAACCTGCTTGGGTTGATGTTCTGTTGTATGTTGAACTCTAAGATTGTCAGATAATCACTGTCATCTGACGAGCTGCCCAGAGCCATTCCGGGTCCACCCCTTATATGATCCTGTAAAGGAGCACTTGAAGGAACTGTATGCTAGTTGATGATTGATGACGGTGCATTCGAGAGCCCTTTCAGTGGCTCTTACGGATCAGTTTGAAAGGGAGCCCCGGAAAGAAGCCGTCTGGTTTCGAAAGGGCGTCACGTTGTTCTACAGCGTTAGTCCCGGGCAAGTCAGAAGTCGACATGCCTCACGTTTCAGCTGCCTGTTAATATGTAGGGTATTGGGTTTTATCATACTATAACCAGAGGGTCCAGGTCATACAGTTGTAAGATGCGAATGATGTGCTAATATACCATAAGCTACATTGAGTTATACGTACAAATTATATACTGTAGTTACATCCGGAGCAACAAGAGCATGAGCCTTGGTGTGGAAATCTTGTATGCAGTAACAAATACCACAGTATACAGATGCATTGTAAAACACAAATTAGAAATCTTGCGCTCCGAGGTCAGCTGTTGGATATCCTTTGTCAGCCTGTGTTGGCTGGATCCAGCAACTTACATCCTCCTGACTCAGGCACCGCCTGTAGGGGCAGACCCGGTAGCAGACCTGGGTCTGGACTATGACTTTCGCTTCGGTACTGCCCCCACCCTGTAACAGTCTAATATTAGGGGTGATATTAAGGGCTGGATATACGGATATTGTATCTATTTCTCACAGCCGATAAGGCATACGCCATGCGCCTGATTTTGCAAGTAGCACTGCGCACTCCCAAGCCCTAAAAATTTCCTTGCAATGAGCCAAAGCATTATCAGCTTCATGTGTCAAAGCCATGTCTAATTAGATCTGAGCCCGTAAACTAGCTAGTGCATACCTGACGCAAGTGCTGCAGCAGCAGGTGCCCAGAAGGATTTCTCGCCGTCTGAAGCTCCGCTTGCTGAGAAGTGTGTCCCAGTTCGAAGCACTTTAACCGTAGCAGTAGCATCCTTCAACCACCCTAGACCCCGTAAATCTCAAAACTCGAGTAACCCTAACAGCAATCCAAAACGAGTGGGTGTCCAAATCCCACCAACTCTGCAACATTTTTAGCGACCCTACAGCACTTCGAACCCTTGCATCTGAAAGCCCAGTTGACCCTAGAACACTCTAAAGTGTCAAATCTGCAGATCCTGATAACCCAGCAACACTGACAGCCCTGAACCTCAAGACTCCCACAACACTAAATATGCTACCCACTCTCTCCCCTCCTTAGTTCAAAAGCCCTAGAAACTCCCAAAACATTGCAAAACCGCAGAAATTCCAAAACCTGGTAGGCTTCCCTCTTGCTCGTGCAAGTGCCGGGGCGCCGCTCCCATGCATCGGTTTCGGGGTTAGGGGAGAATCTACCGGAGCTGGGTCGGGCTTGGTCTTTTGTTGTAGGCGTTTCGGGATTCGAGGGAATTTGTCGTTTGAAAGTGCTGAGCTCCCAGCAGCATGTTGCTTTTTTTTTTTTTTTTGGGGGGGGGGGGGCTTAGAGCTCTGGAGTCGAAATTCGATTTTTTAAATATGGGGTCCTACAGAACCCTTATGAATAGATTATCAAAGGGTCCCTTTAAAAGAACCACTATTCTAGGCCTCTAAGGCGTTTCCGTGGGGTTCCTAGGCGAGTGAGGGCCCTCGAGAGCGACCCTGGCTTTTGACGCTAAACCCGAGGTATAGCCTGGGAAACAAAGGAACCCCCCAAAACCTAACCGACCCCGAAGAATGGGCGTTTCCGAAAATCGGGGAGCCTAAGAAAGTACCCTAAGTAGTAGGCTCCTTATTATAAGGACCCCAAATACGGACCCCTTATTTTCGGAAACTCAAATGGACCTCTTTGTTCAGGATCTTGGAGACTCGCATGCGGAGCTGCACTGGTCGCTTGCGCCTTCATGCTGAAAGCTTCGAAGGTCCGACCCTGGATGTAATAGGAAGCAGAGAAAGAAACGGGGGTTTCCGAAAATTAGGGGTACCCTATTTTTGTCCTTACAATATGGATCCTACTATTTAGGGTACTATATTAGGCTCCCCTATTTTCGGAAACTCCCAAACCTACTACCCTGACGTGCACTTGTGACCCGGGCCGGAAACCCGGAATCAGCCGCGGAGGAAGCCCTGGACGACTGCAGAAATGATTCCTGAGTGTTCACACCGAGACCTAGCCTCAACAACGCCAAACCCCGCAAGCCTACCTTGAGCCGGATAGATACAACCTTAAACTCGATGTAACCCCACTAAAGCCTGTGGCTTGTCCGAGTCACGAGAGCGTATACTTAACATCCTATAACCCCAGCAACCGAGGACTTCCCCCCAAAGCCAGGCATTTGAGACTGCAGATGCCTCGCTGGGCCGGGGTCTTCTTTGTGCTCTCTTCCAGGCTCTGGGAAACCGGGGACCCCCCGACCGACCCCCAGCAATCTATAGTAAACCCCAAAACGTTAAGGCCAAATAGAATGGGATTCCTATACATTACTCTTATGGATTGAGGCTATGGGGTTTCCAACTTTTGGGCTTCTATTGTAATGTAGGGGTCGAAAGTATTGGCGACGGTATGCCCTTGTGGTGGACATGCTTGTTCTTGTATATTAGAACATCACCCAATACTCTCTTCTATTCGTGCCTTCGACCGCTAGCTTCCTGGGTTTTGTTGGGCTTTGGGATACTCCAAGGACAAAAAAGGGCACGAACTGCGCGTTTGTGAGATCATCTACGAAGTTTAGTATACGTAGTATTATAAGGGATTGTACTAGAAGGTTTGCGAGAAGTATCAATGGTTACGATACAGGGTTCGGCGGAGATTTGCACTCCCCCCCCCCCCACACTTCCGAGTATCTGATATCTAAACCCTATACAGTAGAAGCCCCAAAGTTGGAAACCCAATAGCCTCATTCCTTAAGAGTAATGTAGAAGGAATCCCAGCACTATGGCCTTAACCGTGTTTCCAACTTTATGGGTTTTTTACTGTAGCCCTGAATTATTGGATCTTGTTGTGTTGCTTGCTATTGCTGCCCTGTCTGGTCGTGGATCGTCAGGAGCTTGCCTGCCATGTGCGAGTATGAGCGTCGACAAAACCCATGAACACTCTCTCGGTTCCTGTTGCAATCAGTGCTTTTAATGTCGGCAACTTCATCCGCAATGCCTTGCAACAAGGGCTTGAAGCAAGCCTGTATGTTTCAGAGAAGATTCTTCTTACTGTGGCTAGTAGCATTGTGATGATGGTGGTGTTGATTACCATTCTTGTTAAGGTTGTTATCCCTCCTTTTCAGTATTCCTAAACCCACAAGCCTGCCGAGAGGTCCGATCTGCTGCAAGACGGCCCTGAGTCTATACACAGACATACAGACATACGGACAGACAGACAGACAGAGACAGACAGACAGACGGACAGACAGAGACACACACACACACACACACCACACACACACACACACACACACACACACACACACACACACACACACACACACACACACCTCCTCACACACACACACACACCCTTCCGCAATTTTCATGAGATTTTCATGAGGCCCGAAAGCCCGAAATCTCGAACCCTTACCTCGACTCGGCTCGGTAAAGGTGCCACTACATGCCATGGCGGCGGCTCCCTTCCCGAAGGCGCCAGATTTCTGGGCGGCTGCGGGCAATGGGGCCATTGAGATTTAGGATGCAAGGATGTGCGGGGTGTCTAGATACCTTTTGTTGACAATGGAAACTGTTGAGTTCAATGATGCACATGCACATGTGGGTAGTGTCAAGTTTGTGGAACTATACGGCCATTCGGTTTCGAGTTGGGAGCAAACAGTTCAATATGATGTATGTTTGTTGGCTAGGTTGCGCTGCATTATATACTGCTTCTTCTGTTGTATTTTCCACATCGTATCATGCCGTATCATGTTATTTATATATATACATATATATATATATATATATAGAATAGCATAGGACGTACGTAACATAATGTAGTATATTTTATGATGGGGAAAATTGCACACATGTGGTATTATACACCTTCGATAACCCAAAGGGTCCTATGTACTGCTATGGGGACAACTTCCCCAAATCATAGTAGTAATTCCTAGTATAGAAACCCTACATTCTACTATATAGGCACTTTGGACCCTTCGGGAAACTCTATGACAGTGGTATCAGGTTGCTTCTCGTAGGCTCCGTGATCCAAACACCGAAAACCAGCTAGAGCCGCAGCCTTTTCGATGAAGTTTTGGTTTCTTACTAAAGAAGCCCAAATTACCGACATTATTCTTGGGGTTCCTTATCATAGCTACGATATACAAGGTCCCAAAATCCTATAATTCTCAGGGCCCTACAATATTCTTCTTTCCCCAGAGGTCGATGTGCCTTCCGAGCTGCTTTCCGCGAGCCGGCATGCACAGGGACCGCATGGCCCTGGGGATTGAGTTTCGTTCCTGTTGCTGGAGTTGCGCTTGAAGCTCCGGCTCGAGTTACTGTTACTGTTGAGTTTGGTTGGGAGTTCTTCGCGCTAGTTCCTGCTATTTGCCGGTGTTTCCCTAGAACCTTGTATCCTTAGCTGTTTTGTCACTAGCTGGACCCAAAAAGTTACCTAAAAGTACGTAGGTAGTAGCCACTTAATTATAGGTGTTGGGCCATTATTATACCTACTCGGGGGTCTTGGTACCCATTAGCCACATGCCAGGTTGCGTACCCGTTTCGGAGAGTCAGACACACCAACCAGGATCACACCCCAAGGCCCATGCCCACAACATGCTCGGGCAGGACTGCTTTTCTTAGTGGCGCTGTCCGGCTTAACCCCTCGGCCATACTCTTCGTCTTTGGATGCCATGGCTGAGGCTCAGGGTCTGGGTAGGTCTGTTTCGGGGTTAGGGCTCAGGCTATGTTACGCCCTTGCTTCCCGGAGAGACACACACACTCTCTCTCTCTCTCTCTGTCTCTTTTGTTCTCTTTCTCTCTTGTCGATACACGACATGTCTGCTTCGTGGATGAAGGCTGACATACTTCTATTGGTACAGATCTACAGATAAAGCATACTCTGGAGTGTGTGTGTTGCGGTGTGACATGCACCTTTATGTGTGCATCTGCACATGCATATAGACATACAGAATACCACAGTACATACTGCATGCATGTGCACGTAGACGCCGAAGGTTTGCGAAGGCTTTGGCTTGGTTCTCTAATTTGGTCTCTCTACTGGCAGAAGAAGAACACGTAGGAACCCGCTTTTCATGCCATTCTGGCTACAGGCATGCAGCCGAAGAGTCCAGCAGATAAATCCGCGTTTGGAGGGCATGGCTGTCCAGTGGTGGCACATGCATGACATGCAAAAGCCGAAGGAAGAAATGCTGGCAGATCGTTCCGGCCCCGAACTTCCCTAAAGCATCAGAAGTTCAGCTTGGAATCAGGGATGTGTCGATGTCCCATTCGCAGCAGGTCTTCAGAAGCCAATGGCTGCTGTGTGCCGTGGGCTTCCTGCAACTTCGATGCAGTAGACGGGGGACTTGTCACGACATCAGGATACGGCCGCCTTGCTCCCAAAGCAGGAACCATCTCCAGGCATGTTCAGCGCTTCGGGATTGAAGGCCTCAGGACCGAGGTTCAGAGCTGTCACACGGCATCGTCAGGGTCGTATTGCAGTGATACTCTGAGCTAACGCAGGCTGGCGACCTCCGCAATCAAAGAGGTCTTGCTCCCACGAATATCCCCGCCCATGCGGGAACTCGGACCCTTGACGGAATCGTGTACCAGAGATGGCAGTGGTACTCGTTTATACAGTCCAGGCCGAAGCTTTCAGAGGTTGGGACGTTGCGTTTGCGTCAGGCATCAGGAATATGCAACTTACTTAGCCAATTGGAGAACTTTAAACTTTTTGGCTTTACATACTTGGCCTGTCTTCAAAAGTTTGAATTTTTTTTGGGCCTGGTTATTGGAGAAGAGAGGCAATGACGCTGATTGATACTATGACCGGGTTTAGGGTTTGGGGAAAAATGGACCTGAGCTGGTTCAGGATCATAAGGGCTCTGCGGGCTGCATCCCATAGTCCGAGTGGACATCGGCCCGTCACATGTTTTCGTGAGCGTGGTAGTACGAGAGCAAGAGGACGCGAGTTTCCGAAAATTGGGGAGCCTCGAATGGTATCCTAAGTAATAGGATCCTGATTAAAAGGACCCCAAAATAAGGTACCCATAACTTTCGGACACTCCCATATGGGGCACGAAGTCCGGAATCCCAGGTCGGTCTGATCTTGTCGGAACCTCAATCTCTCGAAACACTTCTAAAAGCTTCCAATTCTGGAGTTTCAGATTCCCTCTCTCTCCGTCTCTATCTCTCTCTCTCTCTCTCTCTCGCTCTCTCGCTCTCTCAGTCAGCGAGCGAGCCCTACATCCAGGAGTTGGTGGCTTGATGACGAAAGCTTCGACGGTTCAGTGGCTGCTGCTCTCCTGGGGAGGTCGGGTGCTTTGGATTTGGGGGTTATTATCGGTTTTCAGAGTTTAGGGCTTCAAGGGTTTAGAGTTTCAGGGTTTAGGGTCTGTGTTTTAAGAGTTTAGAGATGTTTAGGGCTTACCTTAACCCTGAAGGACCTACCGTTTTAGGGTTCCCTACGATGATTTCCTCATATAGGTCCTTTAAAAGGTATGTTCTTCAGGGTTAAGGTAGGGTTCAAGGATGTCTATGATGTATCCAAGCATTGCCCCGGAGACTGATGCGCAGTTGCCCTTAACGGTTGATAATATAAATCCTGCATTACCCTAAAAATTACGAATATACCATAATTCCCATAGTTTAGGGTCCTTATAAGGTAATGCAGGATTTATGTCATCAACCGAAGAACCCCTAAAACCCGAAAGCCCTAGAGCCCTGATCGGCGCAGGAGACGCCAAGGATCTGGAAGCCCTTTGTCTCGGCCTGGCGACAGTTTTGGCTCCTTGCCACGTACCGTTAGGGTCCAGGCGCCAGTTTCTTGTCATATGTTCCCCAAGTGATTTTATCCTTCACCTGACTATCAAGTTTTGGGATAACTGTGTAAACTCAGGGTTAACTGGGGCTTAGGACCCTTGTACAGAACCCACAACCCTCGGTTTCCCCGTTTTGTAGTCCCATCAGAACAACCTTTGTAAGTCAGGAGCCTCTCATTGTACGCAAACACACCACATCCGAAAATCATCCGAAAACTTGTTGCACAATTTCGGTTTCGAAAAGCAAGTAGTTTCTGTCACGCGTCTGGCTAATGTTAGGAGTTGTTGACGCGTGTTCGTTTTCGTACTTGGTGAATGTTCAGTACAGAGTTTACATGTGATTGTACAATACTTTGCCCTGATTGTCATTCTGCGTTCGGGGGGCACTGCTATAGTAATACTCAAAGCACTATGCTGCTACGTGCTTTTGGCTGGTTTTATTCGCCTCCATTCCTCCTGGTGTGGGTTCCAGGTTCAGCCGGGTGAGGCTCGAAACTCCGTGGTCCCCGTAACATTTTACTATGCTGAGGTCTGCGCAGCTGAGCAGATGTCCGCGAGCCCGGTTCCTGCCACTCTGATCGCCTATAGGGAGCTGGGGCTTCAACCTACATCGGTTCAACAGACGCCCAAAGCCACGAGACGCCACGAGCCTTTTTTCGGACAGAGGCTGGGGTCGGGGCTATCGATTTTCTGCGGGGCCGAAGCCACTTAGCCCTGATATCGCGTCCTGCGTTTCTCGTGGAGAAGGAAAGACACCTCCCCCTTGGTGACATGGAATTCGAAAGCTCGGAAGCCCGAACTCCTTGCGCACAACTTCCGCAGTGTCGGCGTGGACGGCATCGAAATTGTCGGACAAGTGCTGGAACGTTCGTCGTAGTTATACTTGCGCTCGAAAATAATCCGAGCAGCGCTAAGCATCAGTGGCAGAAGCGACAGCAATTCACAATGGCATGATAGCTCATGAAAGCTGAGGGGAGATGCATCGTTGCAATCGCAACAACTTCTTTCGTGATACTAGAAGTGTTTAGTAATTACAGCTAAGTTAGCAGCAGTGCCTGTGCTGTAGCAGTGACAAAAGCACTAGTAGCAGTGGCAGTAGGAGTAGGAGTAGGTGTAGGAGTGGAAGTAGGAGTTGTAGTAGTTCCAGTAGTAGCAGTAGCAGGAGTAGCAGTAGTAGTAGTAGTAGTAGTAGTAGTAGTAGTAGTAGTAGTAGTAGTAGAAGCAGGAGTAGTAGTAGTAGTAGTAGTAGTAGTAGTAGTAGTAGTAGTAGTAGTAGTAATAGTAGTAGTAGTAGTTGTACTAGTGGTAGTAGTAGTACTAGTACTAGTACTAGTAGTAGTAGTAGTAGTAGTAGTAGTAGTAGTAGTAGTAGTAGTAGTAGTAGTAGTAGTAGTAGTAGTAGTAGTAGTACTCGTAGTAGTAGTAGTAGTAGTAGTAGTAGTAGTAGTAGTAGTAGTAGTAGTAGTAGTAGTAGTAGTAGTAGTACTAGTACTAGTACACGTACTAGTACTAGTACTAGTAGTAGTAGTAGTAGTAGTAGTAGTAGTAGTAGTAGTAGTAGTAGTAGTAGTAGTAGTAAGCAGCAGCATTACGGAGCAGTGCCAGAGGAGGAGGAGGAGCTGAGAAACGTGCAACTCCTGAAGTATCCTGAAGTCGTCGTTAGTTCATACTGAGGCATTGCTGTAACAGATACAGTGATCCGCTTAAGCGCATGGCATGGCGGAATGGCGACCGCGATGAAGCGGGGTCTTATCCCGATGTCTTGCAAACGACTAATATGTCTAGTATAGGGGCCTTAATAGTTAGAATAGGGCTTTGGGGCCCAGTATACTATAAGTGTAATAAGAAACCCCCAAAATAGTATAGGTAATTATCGAGGCCCCTATATAGTAGTCATGAAGCCATGTTACACTGCTGTTGGCACAGAGGTCCCTCCGAAAGCTTCAGCTGCGGAGAACGGAAAGCTACAGACACTTGACGGCAACGGGGGCGATCATATGGGAGTTTCCGAGAATTAGGGTACCTTGTTGTAGTAAGGATCCTACCATTTAGCTAGGGTTCGGAAACTCCCATATCAGTTGGGCTTTGGGCAGGCCTCCCCACAGGGGCACAACGTTTGTTTCGCAGTTTGTTGGTGGAGCATGGCTATGCTTTGCTTGATGAACACGGCTTGTCCTCCAAACTGCCTTGAGAGCAGATCTGAAACACAGCAACGGTACTCTGAGTCTTAGTAGGGAATGGGGGAATGGATTATGAAGACTACTATTGGGGATTATAGGGACTACTATAGGGATCCATTCCCCAATTCCCTACAAAGCACAAGACAGGTCTTGTTCCATGTTTTACCAACATGGTGGGGGTTCCTTATTGATTATATTTACAGGATAATGGGCCCCAAAACCCAATTCTAATTATTAAGGCCCCTAGGTTACTCTGAGTCGTGTTCCGCGAGCCAGTTCCCACAGGACGGCCACCTAACAGAAACCGAAAGCATAGTTTGGACCTGCCACTGTTATTTCCCCCCCTCGTTCCGAGGCCGCTAGTCCCCGAGACGGGCCTATGTAGGCAAGCTTCTAGCCTGTTTTGCTGTAAAAATCGATCGCATCCGGCCAGCAGACTTTCGCAGCATTTGGCCGCTGGACATCTGCTATCCTATACTGGCCTCTACCCAGCAGACCGCACCCCAAAGCCGCGAACAAACCCGTCACAGTCAGCCTTTCCCCGTTGGTGGTTTCCGTTTTTTTGTCCTTCCCTGGTTGGCAGGCGGCGTCCGCAGACTGAAGTTACAGGCGCTGGAACGTCGCAATGCATGGGCATTCGTCGCAACGGCATAGACGTTGTGCACCAATACATCAAGACAGCAACTGGGCTAGGAATACACCCCCTTCCTTGGTCAGAGACCCGGATCTCATGTTGATATTTGGCCGCGTCGGTTGAGTCTGACGGGCATTGGAATCGATAGAGCATTGGGGGTCTGGCTGACTAAGTCGTGATTTCTGGGACTCCACATATGTCGCCTTAGCGTGCCTCTCTTCCCAGTCGAGCTGGCCGCCCAGCACTCTTAAGTCGCG